GATATAGGGAGAAGCCTAAATACTACTACTATATCTAGAATTAGTAGCTAATAGGATATATACTACTAGAATACTAAGAAATATCTATATATAATAGTAAGAATATATTTATAAGTACTAGATTAGAATTTAGATAGTAATTACGAGGCTAACTACTAATAAATAGAGAGCTAATAGAGTAAATCTAATAAATAGATTATATATAAAAATAAGCTAATATTATAAAGATAAAATATAATATTAGAATAAAAATAGAGATATCTAGAGAAATATAGAAGGGAATAAAGCTAAAGAAATACTCTACTTACTAATTAAGAATATAATCTAATAATAGAATCTAACTAAGGAATTATAACCCTAAAATAAACTAATTTAGAGGAAGATATAGAATTCGAGGATAATTAGAAAATACCTAAATTAGAATAAGAAGGCTCTAAATAAGAGAATATATATTATACCACAACCTAATAACTGCAATAAATACCTATAGGGAATTATATAACTCTTAAAGAAGATATCACGTGATTTACCCAAGCTCTAATACTTATATAAGTATATATATATATATTAGTATACCTCACTATATCTCTAAAAGAAAGTAGTAATTAGTTCCTTAAATATTAAGATTTTTATAGCGACTTCTTATATAATATATACTCTAGCTATTAAGTACTACTATAGTATCTATAAGCCTTACCGCCTTATAGTTTTAATTATTCTTAAAAAAGGATATTTTATTAAGGTAAATAGTACCTATTATATAAATAATATTTAGTAAAATAGAATAAGGAATTATATAAATAAACTTAGACTTCTAGATATATATTTCTAATTAAGATAGAGATAACTTATAGGAGACCCGCGAGGAATAGAACTCCTTAAAAGAGGATTCTATAATAGAATTAAAATAAATTTAGTAAGTAGCTAGAGAGATAAAATAATAAATTAGGCTTATAAAAGAAAAGAAAGAACTCTAAGAGTTAAAAAAATAAGCCTAAGTACTTAAAGAAGAACTTAAAAGAAGTACTAATAATAAAAATAAAATAATAAATTTTACCCTTAGTAAAACTTACTCTATAGGTATTATAGACCACCTGCGGCGCAGTCTAGATAAATACGCTTATTAGACAAATAAGATTACGGGACGGAAGAACTTAGAAACTCTCTAGGTCACGTGATGACTAGAGAGGTCCCAAATACTAAGACTATAGATAGGTCTACAATAGGACCTTAGAGTAAAGGTCTATAATAGAATCTTAAAGAGGAGGTCTAACTTGGGACTTCAGGATAATAGATCTATATAGGATCTAAGGAATATTTAGAGGATAAGGGACCTAATATAGCATATATATATAAGGGCACTTATTACCCACTTAATTTCAAGTTATCTTCTAATACTTAAGATTAAAGCTAACTTTATAGTAAGCTATAGCTTTATAGTACTAGTCAATATATATATACTTCCCTTTATCTATCTAATATCCCTTGATACCTCTATACTAGACTTAACTAGTATACTAACTTTATTACTTATAAGGACCTCAGAGAGTATATATACGCTGAGCTAGACTTAGAGCTATTACCTTAAAGTCGGATACTGGAGTATCCTCCCTATAGTAAATAAGTACTATTTATACTCTAACCTATCTATAAAGTACCTTGAGTTATACCTTTCCTCGAGACACCTCCCTTATCCCTATAAGAGAAGCCCACCTTTATAGCATTAATCTTACTTTAGTGTCTATAAACCGAGCCGCTCTATAGCAATAGGACTACTAGTCTAAATTAAAATTACTAGAATAGTTTTAGAGTAAAAGTAGAATAATTACTCTAGATAAAGCTAAATAGAAGAAATTAATCAATACCCTTAAGAGAGTTAAGAAAAATACCTAGAGATCACAAGACTAGCGAATTAGGAAATTAATCTCCCTATATATAATAGAAGAGTACTAGTAAATATATTAATAAGAAAGATTTCTAAAAAGTTTATAGTCCTAAATTAGAAGAAGGTAAAAGACTTTATTATATATACTAAGATATTCTATATATACTAAAGAGTATACTTTATAGAAAATAATACTAATAAGATTCTAGAAGCTATTACCTATTTTAATAGCTACCTACTAATCTACTACTACTAATACTCCCCTATATATAGAGAGTAAGTACTAACTTAGGAGGAATTTATAGATTAATTATAATATTAAGTATTAGACTTAAGTAGAGCTTTCTGTAACTACTACCTCAAATATATTAAAGCTTAATAGAGGGATATCTAATTAATTTATAAATTCTCTACCTTTCTATTAGTACTAGAAGGCCGCCTTAAATAGAAATTTAATAAGTACTAATAAAAAATAAATCTAATAAGTAAAATAATCCCTAAAGTAATAGCTAAATTTAATAAATATACTATTAATAAGGAAGACCTCTTATATAAGGAGTTTATTAATTAATTAGTAATAGCTAAATAAAATCTACTAGATAAAAGGAGAAAAATAAGCTATTATTAAAACTTAACTCCTAATAAAGGGAAGAAACTAATAAATAAATTTCTCTACACTATTCGGCTACTAGTTAACTATATAGAATATTATCTAACTAACTTGCTAGATTATTTATACCTTTCTCTTTTCTTCTAACCCTTTCTTAACCCTTATATCTAGAGAGCCTAAATACTATTACTAATAAGAGAGTTAGCTAAGGTAAACTATTCTAGAATACTTTACCTTAGCTACTACTTAGTTAGCCTTTTTACCCCCTTACTCGTCGTAAGTAGGGTTTCGTAATCTAGGCTTCTATTTAGTATTAGAAGGTCCCTATCTCTCCTATTCTTATAGAAGACCGTGACGTACTTAGGTTTTTCCTATACTCTCCTATAGAAGTATATTAGGGAGTTAGTACCGGGCACCCTTATAAGGTTAAGGAAGAAGGCTAGGCCTATCTTTTCTAATTTTACTTAGGTAAGGATAGTAGTTTACGCCTTCTATAGACCTTATTATATTTATAATACTGTTCTAGTTAGGGGCTATCTATAGATACTATTCTTAGGCCCCTTAACCTCTTTATCCCTACGAAGTTTCTAGTATTCTTAGAATTTAGAGGTTATTAAGTCTTTATAGGGCGTGTAGAGATTTAGGTGGGTATAGTAGTAGATACTAGAAGTCCTCCTAGCTAGTTAGTAGAGTCCTAACCTATAGGGATAGTCTTAGGTACTAAATACCTCCTCTAGGTCTTCTTCTTCTAATAAGGATTGAGTTTTCTACTCTATTATAATAGTGCTAGATAAGGTCTCTAGTATTAGAGCCCCTTACCTATTATAGGTATACGACTACCCTACTTATTATATAGAGGTTTAAGAGTAGTATATAGGACTCGCTCTCTAGGAGGCTTACTAGAGTAGCCTTATAGACTTCTAGTATAGTCCTAAGGTATTTATTCTATATACCTATAAGTCTATAGGTAATTCCCCTTTATATAGGCCTCCTAGCTAAGTTTAGTTAGTACTATACTATCGTAGTATAAATAAGGGCTAATCTAATAATTATTAGGTATATCTTTCTAGCCTTAAGTATCGGGAGGCCCTAGATTAATCTAGTAAGTCTAATTAGAGCAAGATACTACGTCCTTATCTTTTTAGTAACTACTTTGAGATACTTACCCTAAGTAAGCTTTTAGTTAAGGATAAGGCCTAGTACTCTTATAGCCAGGCTTAGGGTAATAACTTAACCCTTAGGTAGTTAGAGGCTTGCCTTAGTATTAAATATCTTAGGCTTCCTAGTTAGATAGATAAGGGTATACTTTTCCGGAGTAAAGTTCGCCCCGTACCTTCTAACCTAGTTAAGGTATTTTAAGTATAGTGCTACGAGTCTCTAGTAATTCTTCTATATTAAGGGTCCCTAGATAAGTATATTAGTATTATCTATAAACCCTATAGCCGAGGCCGTCTTCTCCTTATTATAGATCTCTAGGAGTTTAGTACTATAGAAGAGGTATAGTAGTAGTGAGATAAATAAGCTCTATAGAATACCTAACTATACCTCTATATAGTTTGAGTCCTTACTATTAAAGAGGAGTATAATCTTTCTACTATCTATAAAAAAGTATACCTATCTAATAAGTACCCTTAGTATCCCTTTCTACCTTAGTATATAGAGGAGTCTATCCTTATTTACCCTATTAAAGGCCCCCGAGATATTTATAGAGAGTAGTATAGCGACTTTAGATTTAGTATCCTAGACTACTCTAATCTAGCTTACTAGCTAATCTAGGACTATCTTAGTAGATCTACCTTATCTAGTACCTAACTACTCCTCTAGTAGTATCTCGTATTTCTCTACTAGAGTTCTAAGGCGCTCTATAGTTACCGATTCTATAACTAAACCAAGTCAAGGGCCTAACAAATATAGCTCCCACGACTGCCTAGTGTAACATTCAGTTACTTGCCACGTCGACTCTCCCATCAAGGGTTGGAAGGCCAATTCTCAAGGATGTGGTGTCAAAGCTGCAAAGTCAAGAGGAATACCTGAGTCTCACTTTGTCCCCGTCTAGGCTCTTCCTCTGCAAATAGGTAAGTGTTCCATTTCCGAGTGTTTATGCCCAACTTGAAATGCCTCCGGGGTATATTTTATGACTAGGGCGATCGGGTATTAAACAATACTATAGAGAGAGGCAAGAGGTTTCATGAAACCGTCTGTCCATTTACCGAGGACGCTTGATAACTCTCTCCCCATTCCTCGCCTGGCTATCCAGCATCTGATCAACCACAAACTCCGAGTCATAAACCACATGCTCCCCCTTCTCATCCCTCCAGCACGCTCTCCCAAAACACCGGAAGACCGTATCCCCCCGGTAAAACTGAATCATCTTCACATATTCCCAGTACTCCGGATACCACCCCGAATACTCCCAATCGATAATCGCCGTAATCCGCCCCTTGTCTACCATTATATTATGCATGCCGATGTCGCCGTGTGTGAATCGAAGTTGGTGGTTGCTCATCAAACTATTCCGGATTGTTCAACGTAGAATGAACCGAAGAACCGTATCGAGTCCGGGTGTACTAGAGAAACCAGCCATTCGTTGAGGTCAGCCTCAGTCTTGAACGGGCCGCCATATTCAGCACCGCCGCCTCGAACATCGGCAGCAGGGCTGGTACCGTCGATAGGACCGATCAGAGCTGCTGGCGGAGCACGAAGTGTCCGTAGTTGACACAATATATCATCTAGATCCTTTAGGACACTCTCCCGCTGCACTTGATCCATGGTCGGCCAGCTTTTACTGAGCATATCCCCGGGGATAAACAACATCGCCAAATGTCCCACCCGGTCTCTTCCTTCTCCTTCTTCCCACCAACCAAGCACTTCTGGCACAGGAACCTGCGGACAGGTCCTACGGACAAAACTCATCGCTCGAGCCTCTCGTTCGGCTTGGACATGACGCCCATATTTGACCACCGTACCAGACTCTGTGATATAGACCCCATGCCAGTCCCCACGTTTGCCAACAATCCACCCAGCAGAATCAATTTCCTCCTTCTTGATCGGAGACGTGCCTATAACAGCCTGATTCAAACTGAGGATTATTTAGGATTAAAGTAAGGGATTTAATAATAGAAGTTTTTAGATTCGTACCTCACCAACTTTACACTAACGTAATCCACCATTCGATAACCACCACCAATTGATAACCACACCTTAAAATATTCATACTTCTACTACCTACTAACTTTAACTAGTAATAAAATAGTTAACGAAGAAGTAATTACTTTAGTAATTAAGAATTTAAAGTTATAAAAGTATTATAATATTACTATAACTACTAAAAAATAGAATATTAATAGAAAGACCCTTAGATATAGGTTTTTAGGCTAAATAGTATTAAATTAGGAAACTACCTTTATATATCGAAAAAATCTAACCAATACTTAAGAAGAGGTCTTATTATAGTATATCGAATAGTTATCTAAAAGAGGACTTTTATCTATACCTTAAGTTATTAAAAATCTAGTTCTAGAGCTTATATATATACCTATAGGTAAGAACTAGGTATATTAGTTCTATAAAAGATATAAGTATTATATTACTTTAAGATATCTTTAATTAATTAATTAATAGAGGTATATTATAGATAATCTACTATATTTTAAATACTTTTATAAACTTATAAGTACTTGATTTATATATATATTCTATATATTAAATTAAATTTCTCTATACTATTCGGCTACTAGCTAACTATATAGGAAGACGTCTATATAATTTGCTAGATTATTTATATCTTCCTTTAGTCTTCCTACCCTTCCTTAACCCTTATATCTAGAGAGCCTAGATACTATTACTAATAAGAGAGTTAGCTAGAGTAAACTATTCTAGAATACTCTGCTTTAGCCACTACTTAGTTAGCCTCTTTACCCCTTTATTTGTTATAAGTAGGGCTTCGTAATCTAGGCTTCTATTTAAGATTAGGAGGTCCCTATTACTCTAGTTCTCGTAGAAGACTATAACGTGCTTAAGCCTCTCCTATACCCTCCTATAGGAGTATATTAGGGAGTTAGTACTAGGTACCCTTATAAGGTTAAGAAAGAAGGCTAGGCCTATCTTTCCTAACCTTACCTAGGTAAGGATAGTAGTCTGTGTCTTCTATAGACTCCGTTATATCTATAGTACTATTCTAGTTAGAGGTTACCTATAGATACTATTACTAGGCCCCTTAAGTTCCTTATCCCTACGGAGCTTCTAGTATTTTAAAATCCCTAGGGGTTGTTAGATCTCTATAGTACGTATAGAGGTCTAGGCGAGGTATAGTAGGGGATACTAGCTATCTTCTTTACTAGATAGTAGGGTTCTAGCCTATAGAGATAGTCTCGGGTATTAAATACCTCCTCTAGGTCTTCTTCTTCTAATAAGGATTGAGGTTCTAACCTTATTATAATAGCTCTAAATAAGGTCTCTAGTACTAGAGCCCCTTATCTATTATAGGTATATAGCTACCCTACTTATTATATAGAGGTCTAAAGGTAATATATAGATCTTACTCTCTAGAAGGCTTACTAGAGTAGCTTTATAGGCCTCTAGTATAATCCTAAGGTATTTATTCTATACTCCTATAAGCTTATAGGTAATTCCCCTCTATATAGATTTTCTAGCTAGATTTAGTTAGTACTATGCTACCGTAGCATAGGTAAGGGTTAATCTAATAATTATTAGATATACCTTCCTAGTCTTAAGTATTAGGAGGCCCTAGATTGATCTAGTAAGCCTAGAGAGAGCTAGATACTGCGTCCTTATCTTTCTAGTAACTATTTTAAGGAACTTACCCTAGGTAAGCTTCTGGTTAAGGATAAGTCCTAGTACTCTTATAGCTAGGTTTAGGGTAATAACTTATCCCTTAAGTAGTTAGAGGCTTGCCTTAGTATTAAATATTTTAGGCTTCCTAATTAGATAAATAAGGGTATACTTCTCTAGGGTAAAGTTTACCCTATATCTTCTAGTCTAGCTAAGGTATTTTAAGTATAGTGCCGCGAGTCTCTAGTAATTCCCCTATATTAAAGGTCTCTAAGTAAGTATATTAGTATTATCTATAAATCCTATAGTTAAGGTCGCCTTTTCCTTATTATAAATCTCTAGGAGTTTAGCCCTATAAAAGAGGTAGAGTAGTAGTAAGATAGGTAATCCCTATAGAATACCTAGCCCTACCTCTATATAATTCGAGTCCTTACTATTAAAGAGAAGTATAATCTTCTTATTATCTATAAAGGAGTATATCTATCTAATAAGCGCCCTTAGTATCCCTTTCTACCTTAGTATATAGAGGAGTCTATCCTTATTTACCCTATTAAAGGCCCCCGAGATATCTATAGAGAGTAATATAATAACTCTAGATTTAGTATTCTAAACTGCTCTAATCTAACTTACTAATTAGTCTAGGGCTATCTTAGTAGATTTACCTTACCTAATATCTAACTACTTATCTAGTAGTATCTTATACTTCTCCGCTAGGGTTCTAAACTATTCTATAGTTACTAACTCTATAACCTTTCTAAGTATATTTAGTAGGGCTATAGGCCTCTAGGCCCTAGCTTTAGTATAGTCCTCCTTATCTAGCTTCCTAAAAACTACTATATAGGCCTCTTTAAAGGCTATAAGGTAGTATTCCTAGTCTTAGGTAGCTTAAATAAGAGCCGTTAACGTAGTAGTAAGGGGTTTACCTATTATAAGTAGGAAGCTAAGCGGGATTCTATCTATACTTAGAGCTTTCTAGGGTTTGGCTCTCCTTAGAGCTAATTAGACCTCCTCTAGGGTTATTCTAGATAGATTCTCTACTTTCGGGCTATAGGTAGCCCCCTTAATATTAGAGAGGTCTATAGGGGTGTGGTTAGCCTACTAGCTATTACTTACCTAGTTACTTATTAGGTAGAATCTATTTCTTAGAGTATCTACTATTATCCTATAGTTACTAGATCCTTCCTCTAGAGGCGGGATCTTAGGTAGCTTGGGAGGTCTAAAGCTTCTCTCCTTACCCTATTTTATAAGCTTCTAGATACCCTTAGGCTTATCTTCTAGCTTATATAGGTCTCTACGGAAGATTACTCTCTTTTCCTCTCTAATAAACTTCTTTTTAGCTTTATTTAGGCTCTATATAGCTTTGTAGGGGTCCCCTCTACGTATTATCTAATATTCTTCCCTAATAGCTATTTTTACTCTTTTAGTCTACTAGGGTAGGTTACGACTATCTAGTACTAACTTTAGACCTTCTTTAGGTTTAGCCTTTAGTACTAGTTTTTCTATAAGCTCTAATATAAAGGTTTATATATAGGCCACGTAATTATTAATCTCCTACCTACTTATTAATTAGCTCTTAACTACTAAAGTATTAGTATATTTCTGTACTAACTCCGCGTTAGCCTTCTTCTAAAGGTAGTCTAGTAATAGTATCCCTAGGCTAGCTACTATATTACGGTGATCTATAGAGGTTATTACTAGACCCCTTCTATCTCCTAGTATCTTTATAGAGAGTTCTATAAGGAGAGGTATATAGTCTGAGCCATGGTATAGACTATTATCTATAGAGGTAACTACTTAATATCTTATTAGTTATTCTAAGAGGAAGGCGAGGTCTAATATAGAGATTAGAGGGCCCTTCTACTAGGTAGTAAGCCTAGGGGGTATAAGGAAAGTAAGGTAGTTAGACCTTATAGTATTTATAAGGGTATTATTAATAGTAGTATATTTATTAGACTAGCCCTAATAGAGGTAGTATATATTAAAGTCTCCTAATAGGAGTATATTAGCTTTATCTCGAATTAGTACTAGGAGCTTCTAGATTAGTAAGGAGGGGGTAGAGTCTGCTAGATATATAGAGAGCAGGGAGTAGATATTAATAATAGTAAGGACTTTAGGGCCTAGCTCTAAGCCCTTTTATAGTAGTGGGCGAAGGGGTTCGAGGGCTAGTTTAAGTATATTAATACCCTCTTCTAGATATTATACCTTCTAGGCTAAAAGCGGGAGGGCTTTATTAATTAGAAAGTATATCTTTAAATATCTATCTATTAGATAGAGGGGATAAAAAGGGGAATAGAAGGGGTAGGCTATAGTATATATATAGGGGTTCTACTATAATTCCTAGATAGCAATTATATCTAGGTCCCTGGCCTTAGGGTAGCCTATTAGTAGCTCTATTATATTCTACTTTTTATATATATTATATTAGAGCACCTTTACTATTAGGATAGTAGGGTAGTAGACTTATTATAGGTAGACTATTATAATAGTAGTAGATCTATAATAGGCTAGTTCCCTTTCTCCGGTATAGTTATAGTAGTAGACCTACTATATCCCCTTTTAATCTATATTTAGGTAGCCTTACTATAGCCCTCTATAGATACTATTACTAGGGTACTATTAGTTCTTTTTCTAAGGGAGGAGATTGGCACTTTTAGTTCTAGAACTAGCTCTAGTTTATATACCCGGAAAGTAGTAGGCCTTATAGCTCTAACTTTAGTAGCTCTTTTTACCTTATAGAGCTAGTATTAGTAGACCTTACTACTAACTTAATATAGTCCCTTATAGTTTATATATTTAGCTATACTAGCTTTTCTAAATATAGTATAGGCTCGTGTATAGTAGTTTAGCTTATTATACTATTTATAGGTCTCGATATTTCTATAGTTCTACTATATATAGTTATACTTTTAGCACCTATAGTAGCGCCTTACTTAGTATTCTAGAATAAAGGGTTTAACTAGGTGTAGCTTATCCTTATAGAAGATTCCCTCCTTTATTAGGAAATTTACTTCCTCGGGCCTAGCTAGATCTAGTAGAAGAAATCTAAACTTTTTTCCTTTTAGAAGGGTCCTTTTATTCTAGTATATTCTTAGGATAATAACCTTTCCTTTAAGTTCTAGGTTCTGATCTATAAGCTCAAGAGTTACCTTTACCTAGTTATTATTCTTAATAGATTTAACCCTGACTCTATAGACTAGGACAGTATACCTCTTATCCTAGAGCCTAGCCTCTATTCTAGTAGCCTTAAGCTAGACCCTATCTACCTTAGCTTTTTACTTAGTTTCCGCGGAGTCTATAGTTAGGATAAGCTCTCCTACCCTAGACTCTCTAATTCTAATAAAGGTTCCTATTTTCCTTATAGCTATTTTTCTATTAATAG